AAGCAGTTTTGCGGCCTAATAAATCTTTATTGAACAGTCCCAGACCCCTACAAAAAATTGAGCCCGTTAAGACCACATAGCAGGACGGGCAAAATAGTTTTTGGAAGTGCACCTCATACTGGAAGTGCCAGTATGAGGTGCCGAAGTCAGCCGAAGTCAGTGACAACACTGGCAGCTAGTCCCGAAAACAGTGGCACTTGTAGCGCATAATGACACCTGCCACCGGAAGTGCCATTAGTAGGTGCGGTGTCACGATTTGTGCCTGCTGTCTCCGCATCTTCCTTGCTGTCACAGCTTGCTTCAACAGCCAGGTCAATTTGATCCAGCACTTTCACGATCAGTGTCTTTATCTTTCGAGTTTCCATCAACAGAGGAGGTTTCTCCCACTGATGAATCCTCATAGATATGTTCAACATTGATCACATCTTCCTTGCTGTCGCAGCTCCTTTCAACAGCCAGGTTAATTTGATCAAGGAGAACATCAACACTTTCACAATCTGTGTCTGCGTCCCCAGGGCAAGTTTCCAAGTGCAGGACAAAACATTTTGTCCTGTTTTTCAACTCAATCATACATACATCTAAATTCGAGAATGCAAGTCAATAAATGTGCATACATTTAAGTTTTGTATTTGTCCTGTTTTTCAACTCATACATACGTGTAAAAATCAAAGATTTTACCTATGACAACACCCATAAACAAATTAATACAAGTGTTTTAATAGAGTTAAGTATTTTTCCAGAAGTTAGACACACATCAGTCACATTTAGAAACTGTCTCTAAGCCATCTGCTTGACCTATTTTGAACCGGAGGATTCCCTTAAAAATGTCTTGCCTTAATTACTGTTCATAAGGAAAACATTTAACATCTAATATTTTTTTTTTTACATTTGAATTCAGTGACAAGTTTACTCTTACCACCGCTGCATAAAGTGACAGTCTACCCAAAACATTTGCATTGGAGATTTTATTCTTGATTTTGCTTCTTTGATTGCATTGCAAGACCAGTTAATGTTCTTCTACCAGGTTAGTAGCGTTTAGCATGCATAATCTATAAACCTATCTTCTATCTTTTAAGAATAAATCTGCTCCGCCTGTGAAGCGCTCAGAACAACGGAGACAAAAAAAATGTGCTTTTTAAAATTATTATTATTTTGTGGGAGACAGCACAGCTGCAAATACGATAGAATGCTGCATTTAAAGGCGCAGTGCGATATCGCTCTGCTGCGCCTGTGTCCTGACCAGGAGCAAATCCTTTGTTGATTCCAAAAGAAAACTGAACAAAGCAGATTCACACTGAATGATGGAAACTTGTGATTCGGAGAAACGATGGTTAATTTGCCCGTAATGCATGATGCAGTTGCCTCTCTCACAGTGAAGTGAGGCGGCTAACTGGAGCTCAACATAGCAAACGTTCCAGATTACAGATCAGTTTTAAAAAAAAGATTTTTGGTGAATGGAGTGGAGTAGACGTGCTACTTGTCAGATGATGGAAAACGTTGAAGAATCGTTTCTGCTTCAGCAGTTTAAGCAGAGAGGTAATGAAATACAACAGACACTGACAGGCCTCTGCGTCTGCCTTTCTCTGAAGAACTACTGAGCGGGAGGAGACAGGTGAGGAAAAACTGTTCTTATCTATCGATTCAGTATTTTTATCATACAGACATTAGGCTGCTGTTGTGCTATTAGCTAGCTGCTAGCTAACGACTTTGCTAGCAAAGCTAGATAAATAAAAAGCTTCTTCCCTGTGTACGAGGCACATCGCCCGTCCAAAACTTATCTCCATAATGGATAGGGTTAGGGGGTTAGGCAAATAAAATTCCCTTCATGAGACAAATGTGTGATTTAAATGTTTAAAAAAGTTTTAAGCAAAACTCAGTAGGCTTTTCCTATAGTGACATGCATTAACAATTCAATTTTTTCTTTCTTTTTTTTCGTATTTCTGCAGTTCCACGTTAAGTTAGATGCAGCTCTGCTTTCCTGAATGGACCATCTTCATTTCCACTGCGACTGTAGCAAACAGGCAGCTGGGAAACTTTGAACCTCATATCTTAAACGAACAAACACTTCAGCACAGAAAATCAAACACGCAGCCTGATTGCACAGAGGTTTCTGGTATTATTTACAAGTAGAAACTGTGATAAGAACTGACCACATGTCCGACTGGCCAGAAGGGTTTATCTTTCTGGTCCATTTGTTTGTTTTTCACATGGTTAAAGCAGAGCACTGTAAATCAAACCGGGTTACATCCGTCGTACTTTGTCATTTGAGTTGAATTACTTTACGCTGAATGGACATTTACAGGGCCATCCGGTATCTTACATCAGCTTGGACTTCCCACTTTCCTGCCTGAATCTGCAGAGGGATTTATGCTTGATCCAATAAATCATTCCGCTGTTAGTCGCTAGATGGCGGTGTTGCCCTGAATCTGACATGACACACGTGGGATCCGCTGCAAACTTTGGCCATAAGATCTGTTTATCTAATAAATAAAGCTCTCTCAAGGAAGGGTCTTTAATAGGCAGAAAACGTTCACAAGTACTTCTGACACATTAGGGTCATTAGGGCTGTTTACGGCAACTATGTGATATTATCTACAGAGATACAACTACTGGTTGATTTACTCAAGTAACTGTTTTGGGAAAAAAATACTTATAGTTGTTTTTCTACATTGCACCTTTTACTTTTATTATGAAGTATCGCTACTCTTACGACCTATTATGCTTCCTTGAACAGATTAGGATAGGTCTATGGACTATAAAAAATATGTTCGTTACTTTTTTTTTTTTTTTACACAAAATTTAATAAAATTTTAGTTTTCTGCCTATTTTAAGCTGTTTTAGGGTGTCTTGTCACTTTAAATAAAAAAAGCTGTTGCTTTCCCCTCAACTCAGCGTTTACACTGGCAGGTGAAAATGTCTGCAAACAGATGTGCAATCATACATCCATTTATCTTTGAAAAGCAGAAGTCGAGCCTGCTTCACAACCAGCAGGAAGTACAGTAAGTGGTTTCTGGATGGTAAGTCAACAATAAAGCACTTGTCATTTCCAGGAGCCATTGTACAGCACATACAACAGGCTAGCTAGCAGGCTAGGATTGCTAGGTAACGGCACAGAGCCTGCTAATTTGTATGCTACATTCTGAAGGATTTTGAAACGGCTCATTTTCCAGACACCAAAACATTTTGCATAATGCATCCTCTACCCACTGTAAGTAACTTAATTGAATAATAAACAAGCTTGTTTTAACCAAAAAAATAACCAGACACAGACACCGAACTGTTGTTTTTGTTAAAGTTTCATGAGTTTAGAATCAAAAGAAACTGTTTTTTTTCTGGTTTGGTTATTTTTCATTATGATTTTTTAAAAACACAAAATTTCCAAATTTTATATTTTTGATCAGTTCAGTACTTGAATTGCCTTTTTACCAAATGTTTTTTACTCTTGAGTCATTTCTTGGATGGCTGCTTTTTGCTTTTACTTGAGTTAAAGTATGTTGATTTGTGCTACTCTTATTTGAGTACAATTTTTCTCCAGAATTTCATTGTTTTCATCTTCCAAGACCATAATCACTGAATCAATTTAGATTGTTGGATTGTTTCCAGAACCAGTACAGTTTTTACCTTTCAGGTCTCCCTCCTGTCACTTCTCACACTGGCTAAAATGTGGTCCCGATGGGACACATTCCCAAATCCCTTCTTGATCACTTCTGTAACCCAATGCTGTAATTACAACTTCCCACGGTGAATGAAACCGGAGAAGGAGGAAAAGTGGGATTTCAGGTAGATGACATTGGCCTGAGTCCTTGTCGGGGCTAAAAAGCCGAGGGGCCACAGGGAAAGAAAAGCTCTGCAGAATGAAAACCTGCAGACCTGCTCTGGATCTGCTGCCCTGCATCCCTTTATTTATCATTTCAAAGAGGTAGGCTTTATAGAAAGACTTTTTTAATTTTTGAAAAATATCTGACATGTTTTGTTATTACGGCAGTTTGGGAAGGTTGGTAAACAATTCTGCAGTGCTCCATTTTATTTTAAGCTTTCAAAATAAAATAAAATGACCTACTTCATGCATATTATCAATAAGTATATTTGAGTAACTGCAGTTTCTTTTCATTGGTTAAAATGTGATGGCAAACGATAAAAAAGGGAAAAAGCACAAATGTTATCAGGTATTTTTGAAGTAAACCAAAAATACCTGAAATAATAATTTCAGTACACTTGAAATAAGACAAAACTAACTTAAAAGTAACTTTTCAGCAAGACCTAGCTTGTTTTAAGTTAATAATTCCTTAATATTGATGGAAAAATACTGTAAAACACAAAAGAGCTACAGGAAGAAACCTTTGTGTCAAAGGTACCCATCCCAATATATATATAAATACAAAGCAAAATCTCCTAATGAGCGGTTAACAGCACTTAACAGCAGCCAGTTAGCAGCAACAAACAAAAGTTAGCAGCAGCTAGCAGTTGTAAAATTAAACATAGCTAAAATTGCACAGCAATAATAATAGCAGCTAAAATATATACAAAACTCAGCAAAATGACTCATGAAACACTGCATATGATTACATTTGTCTAGAATATGTGCTAAAATATAGAGCTTGTTAAAATGCAGAGCATACCACAGTCACCAACAGAAAATGGGGGCGGAGCTGTTGGTCAGTGGTTGCTATGGTAACCACCAACGGTCAGGAGCGCCGGTCAGTGGTTGCTATGGTAACCACCAACGGTCAGGAGCAGCGGCAGAAACAACTTCTTGACTATATAAGATTAATTTGAAGGACACATTTTGACAAACTTCACATCTATAACATTGTTAAAATAAATCATTGTGTTTAATATATATATATATATATATATATATATATATATATATATATATATATATTTTTTTTTTTTTTTTAAAAAAAAAACAAAAATACNAAAACGTTGAAGTCTCGTTTCTGCTTCAGCGGTTTAAGCAGAGAGGAAATGAAATACAACAGACACTGACAGGCCTCTGTCTGCCTTTCTCTGAAGAACTACTGAGGGGAGGAGACAGCCAGGTGAGGAGAAACTGTTCTTATCTATCGATTCAGGATTTTTATCATACTGACATCAGGCTGTTGTGCTATTAGCTAGCTGCTAGCTAACGACTTTGCTAGCAAACTAAAAAGCTTCTTCCCTGTATTGTTAATATCAGTCATTGTTCAGTAATGATTATGATATAGGGGAACATCGCCCGTCCAAAACCGATCATCTCCGTAATGGATAAATGTCTAATTTCCTTTGCTGCATAAAGTACATTGCATTTATTCTGGCGTTAGGTAAATGTGTCTTGAAGGAGAATGTTAGGTACCAGGTTGGGTTTTCTTCTTTTTCAGCTCTGACCATCTGAGGGCGCCAGAGGCTGTTTCCTTGTCCTTGGTGGGTGTGTCAGCAGGCTCCGCGGTACGCACCTGGCTCCAATCGTCATCTAGAGGAGTATTTAAGCGGCAGGCTCCCGCTCTTCACCGCCAGAGTGTTTTACCTATTGTGGTACCTCCAGCCTTCCTACTGTTTGTCTCATTGAGATTGTTTCTAGTTGCCTTAAGAGCTTACCTGTTGTTTTGTGACCTCTTCCAGGACATCTTCAAGTTTTCCCCGGAGAACTCCTGTTGTCGAGCCTAGAGGGTAGTCCCCTCACGACGCTGGGAGCGAGACTCACCGGGAACTGGAGTCCTCCCACATCCCTCTGTTTAAGAGCCCGCTGTGCGCCTCCGGCTGGAGTCCGCCCCGAAGACTCCTGGTCTCTCACTCTCACGAGTCGTTCCCTTCCTCGTCCCTCTCCGAGTCAGCCTCTACGCCTAGCCGCAACCTGGTACCGGAACCTTCCCCCAACCAGAATTCTTTATCACAAGTAAGCTGCGAACCCATACAAGTTGCCAGATTTCCTACGGTCATTAAACTCACCTCCACTCTCCCCTGTGTGCAGCCGTGCCAGTCCTTCCACTGCAGCTTCCCGACTGTGGATGTTTTGAACTTTATTGTCAATAAACATCTAAAGTTTCATTCTGCCTCTCTGTGAGTTTCTGCATGTGGGCTCAAAAACTAAAACCCAGCATGACAGAGAATAGCACTTAAATAAAAGTCCAACAAGGATATTCATTTAGACTTAAAAATAACTCACCCTGAGTTACCATGATAGATATAATGTTAAAAGTGTCATTAATAAAGGGGAAAAAACTCAACCCAGACGAAGTACATTTAGGGTCTGGTTTGCAGAGTATGAAGTTAATTTTTTTTCCCCAATTATTCAATTAAAAAAAAACTCAGTTAAGTAAAATAAAATTGTAGTCGAAACTTTTGGAATTGCAATGATTCCTTTTTAAAAAACAAAACTTTGTTTAAAAAACTTTTTTTTTAAATTTAACTCATTTTTGTCTCGTGAACTTAGTTATTTGCCAAACAAACTTATTTGTACACATCATAAATCTTTTGTTGTGACTTTAGGCCCTGCCCACGACGTCATGTGAGAATCACAAGCAAAACTTTGAATCACAAACAAAAACTTATATTAACTTATATTAGAATAGCAAGAAAAGATTTCTGACAAGTGCAAGTTTGTTTTGCAAAAAAATAAAAAATGTACTTCATGAGTCAAAATGTGTGATTTTAATTTTTAAAAAGTTTT